TATCCATGTGTGTCCATTCAATTGGGCTCTACAGTTTCTCATTAGGTTGAATGAATAACTGACTCTAAATGTAGGTATTGTGATATAAACTGAGTCTGTTCTACAGTTTCTCATTAGGCTGAATGAATAACTGACTCTAAATGTGGGTATTGTGATATAAACTGAGTCTGTTCTACGGTTTCTCATTAGGCTGAATGAATAACTGACTCTAAATGTAGGTATTGTGATATAAACTGAGTCTGTTCTACGGTTTCTCATTAGGCTGAATGAATAACTGACTCTAAATGTAGGTATTGTGATATAAACTGAGTCTGTTCTACAGTTTCTCATTAGGCTGAATGAATAACTGACTCTAAATGTGGGTATTGTGATATAAACTGAGTCTGTTCTACAGTTTCTCATTAGGCTGAATGAATAACCGACTCTAAATGTAGGTATTGTGATATGAACTGAGTCTGTTCTACAGTTTCTCATTAGGTTGAATGAATAACCCACTCTAAATGTAGGTATTGTGATATAAACCGAGTCTGTTCTACAGTTTCTCATTAGGCATGAATAACTGACTCTAAATGTAGGTATTGTGATATAAACTGAGTCTGTTCTACAGTTTCTCATTAGGCTGAATGAATAACTGACTCTAAATGTAGGTATTGTGTCTGAGCGGAAACTGCAACACTGCGTTTCTGTTTTTTGAATAAATAACTGCATCATGTTACGTAACTTGTCTAAAAATAAATCAATTAAATGTGCTCATCCACAACTCAGTCCACATGTGTGATGATTTCTATCTCAGTACTGATTCATGCAGACAAACAGCAGAGAAGAGAATATATTCAGGAAAATCTGTTGGTGTAGATGATGCATTAGAAACCATTGATCTGTCTAATTTGTATGACTATAAAGATGCAGATATTGGAAAATAAGGGCTAATTAAGAATATTAAGAATAATGAACAAATTAAGAATAATGAACAAAGAAAATGTGAAAACAGCTGTTTGAGCATCACAAGGCAGCTGAAAAAGTGGAACAGAAAGATAAAGGCCAAAAGACTTCCCTAGAGCTTCTACAGTGGAGGAAAAGATGTAGCTATGAATCAGTAGATTTATTAACAGGTCATAACAGCTTTATTAACCAGACTAATGCACAAAGACTAGTAAGTTTCCATGTTTTTTCTTCACAGAACAAGTTGTTAATTTAGCATTAGCTAGCATTAGCTAGGCTGACTATGTAACTTAGATGGTAGGCTAATTCTAGCCACATACAATGTTTACTCAAAAATGACTTTGTGCTCTTCTGTAAATGTCTTATAAAAAGCTAAAATATCAGAGGAAACAAACACTTTAGCATGCTAATATTGGCTAAGCTAACCCCATCATCACAACCAGAATAGTACAATATAAAATACAAACCCTTCCTGAAGTAAAACCAGTTATTGGTTTCTTACTACTGAACAGTAAATAGTAAAAAGGTTATATTTTATGGAAGTTTGTTTTCCTGTTAACTCCTTAAAATCCCAGGCTTATTACACACTAAACCAACGTACACAGAATGCCATACGTAAGCCTGAGCTTGGGTAGGTTACACTACCAAATGTCCTGTTTATAGACGCTGTTTAAAGAGCTGTCCGTGGTGCTGAAATGTGGTTCCTCCAGTTTAGAGACTGCTTGTATTCAAAAATGTGATTTTTTTATGGTAAACTCCTCTTGGAAATTTTATTATGGTTATGCAGACTCATATTTAAACCATGTTTATAGTTTAGAGTTTACATTTGTTTTCTATTTAAAACTGTATATGATTCATGAACTGCTAGCAGGTTAGTTTTATCATGACTGAGCTTGAACCTCTCAGCTAGCATTAGCTTAATAAGAAAGCCTAAGCAGCTGTACATACAGCCACACACATTCTGGCTCACTGAAGCTTCACTGTTGAGAGAATAAACTCAAATCTGAGGAAGTAAACCTGTGTTTGTCTGAGTGGAGCTGTTAGCTTAAGCTACTTTCAATTCATCTCAGAACACCAGAGGCTAATGTTAGCTTAGCGAGACAGCTAAACCACCAACAGAGTCACAGAAAGTAAACTTCCATAAAATATAAAGTTTTTAGTATTTACTTTTCAGTCATAAGAAACTAATGACCGATTTTACTTCAAGAATGGTTTGAATTTTACATTGTATTTTCTGGCTGTGATGATAGGTTAGCTTAGCCAGCATTAGCAAGCTAAGAGTGTTTGTATCCACTGATATTTTAGCTCTTTGTATGATATTCATTTTTAAGTGAACATTGTATGTGGCTAACATTAGCCTACCATATAAGTTACATAGTTAACCCAGCTACTGCTAGTTAACCAAATAAACTCACTGACGCTGCACTGAGGCAGGTTTAGAGGATAAAGAGTGAAACTGATTGACAAAGGCAGAATCTTTCTGACATTAATTCACAACTGAAATGTGTACTTTAAGGTAAATGCTGCTGTCCATGGTGCTACTACACTGTTATTTGCAGTATTGTAATGTTTTAATATATTACACTTCATCAATCAGCTGCATTTGCACAGATCAGACAGCTGTACTTTACACTTCAGTATCTCTCCTGTCATTAACTTTATTCAGGATTGCTAATGTTTACCTGTTTCACATCTTTATGTCTCATGTTGGACTTAATTGTTTACCTTACTGTTTACTGTTTATAGTAGCTCTATGTACACAAAGAGCTTTAAAACGTGGCAGGACCTCCTGGTGGCTAATTGCCTCCAGTCAGTGTGGAAGCATCTCAGTTTATGGCACAAATTACAAAAAATACAAACATAACAGATAAAATATCCTTTTCTGCACAGCTGAATTTTCTGTTCAGCCAATAAAATCAGCAAACTAGGAGAGCAAGGAACCCAATTATCCTAACTGGACATTTTAAAGTGGCATAAAATTCTGAAAAGAAAAACATTCAGTTGTTAAGCTGTCTCTTGAGCAGGTGTGCAGGTTCAGAACAAGTTCAGTCAGTTGAGTCAGTTGAGTCAGTTCTTGTGCAGTGACACACCCTTGCAATTAAATATGTGGCTGGTGTTCATGATTATATAGCAAGGAATAAGCACACAGTGAAGTTACTGACCTGGGAAGGTCAGTTCTAAAAAGCTTTGTGGTCTATAGTGAAAACAGTGAGTGATACTCCGTGGTGCTGAATGCCTGAATCTCCATAGCAGCAAGCCCGGCGCTGTCCGAGGTGCTGAATGTGAACATCTCTGTATTACTGAGTACTGGTGCTGTCCGTGGTTCTGAATGTGTGAGTCACCGCAACATGTGAAGCAAAGGAATCTCTTAGGAATCAGAGCCATTTGCCAACTGTCCTTGCACACAGAGGAACTAGACCTCTTTTTAACCCATCCATGCAGTGAAACACCCGCATACATGCACACTAGTGAACACACACACTAGGGGGCAGTGAGCACACTTGCCCGGAGCGGTGGGCAGCCCTATCCACAGCGCCCGGGGGAGCAGTTGGGGGTTAGGTGTCTTGATCAAGGGCACTTCAGTCATGTACTGTCAGCTCAGGGGATCAAACCAGCGACCTTCCAGTCACAAGGCTGGTTCCCCAACCTCCAGCCCATGACTGCCCCCATAGTGAGTCACATTATAACATCAGTATTTCCAGTCTAACTTCACATGATAACACTAGAGGTGGAGCAGAGAGTACTTGAGTAGTTTAAGCTTGAGTTTAAGTACTTGAGTAGTTAAAGATATAAATAACATTATTAAAAATGTGACATTGTAAAACATTAGTATTAAAATCTGCCAGTACAGAATGTTTCATTATTATTATTATTATTATTATTATTATGGTTGTTGTTGTTAGTAGTAGTAGTAGTAGTAGTAGTAGTATAAACGTAGTATATACAATATGTTAACATATTGTATATAAACAAATATAGAACCATCAACTCATTCTCCATCAGTCAGAAAAAGTTCATATGCAAAGAACCTTTTAAGCGAGCAAACGGTTCTTTGGGTGTTCATGGCTCTATACAGAACCATCAACTTTACTAAGGAACCATTAAAGACTAGTAGTAAAATAGTAATGCTAATTATGTTATTATTATTATTATTATTATTATTATTATTAGTAGTAGTAGTAGTAGTAGTAGTATTATTATTATTATTATTATTAGTAGTAGTAGTAGTAGTAGTAGTAGTAGTAATGCTTTTATTGTTATTTTTAGTATAATTTTCATTTTCATTATTATTATTATTATTATTATTATTATTATTAGTAGTAGTAGTAGTAGTAGTAGTAATGCTTTTATTGTTATTTTTAGTATAATTTTCATTTTCATTATTATTATTATTAGTAGTAGTAGTAGTAGTAGTGGTAAATAATGCTTTTATTGTTATTTTTAGTATAATTTTCATTATTATTATTATTATTATTATTATTATTATTAGCAGTAGTAGTCAGTAGTGGTATGATAACTTATTATCAGTATTATAGTCATCATTCTTTCTGTTACAGTTATTACTGGTGCAATTATTAATAGTTCAGACCGGCTGCAGGTTTTGTTTTACCCCCTCACCACCCCCCCACCCCACCTCCCACCCCCGTGCGCGTGTCTGTGCTGCAGCTCCTCACACTGACCCTTCTGCAAATTAATCCGCGTGCTCACAGCACCGAGAGGCTCGCGGTGCATCTCTCTCTCTCTCTCCCCCTCTCTCTCCACGCGCGCGCGCGCAGAGCAGTAGCAGCTGGACCAGCGAGGCTGCGTTTATGATTCTCTCCGCCGCGCTCGCGCTGTAGGGGCTCTGTTTATTATTTTTATTTTCTTTTGTTTATTATTATTATTGTTGTTGTTGTTATTTATTTATTTTTATTGGTCGGAAGCGTCTCTTCCGATGCCCGTAATGCGCGCGAGCGAAGAAAGGCAGTAACAGATTCAGGGGGCACGCGTCCGTCTGTAACACACACACACACACACATACACGCGCGCGCGCACGCACGCACGCACACACACATACACGCGCGCGCGCGCACACGCTCACAGCGCGAGAAGAAAGATGGTGATCATGGCTCCTGCACACTACCCCTCTGATCCTGCCGCCACCGCGAGCCTCTTTCTGTGGCTGTTAATAACCGCCCATCTGCCTTCCAGGTAAGCTCGAGACCGCTGCGGCGCGGTGCTGGTATGAGGAGGTTTAAACGCGAACGCGCACGTGTGATTCATTCGCGGGGCTCGCGCCTCCAGACCGGGGTGAAAACGGCTCGGTGTGCAGCAGAAAGTAGCTGGCCGCGGACGGAGGGCGGAAGATGAAAGACGGTTTTGTTGCGTTCATGTGCGCTTCCCTGGCGGCGCGAGGCTGCCGCGCACGAGGAGCGAAAGGACGGCGTTAGTGGAGAATATGAGGGGGGGTATTTGGGGGCGTTTAGCGCGGTTGTTGGTGGAGAAAATGCGCTTTTAACGAGCGCCTGGGTTCCTTCAACGCTGCTATTGCTATGGATACGACGGTGGTTCTGCTGGTTGTTGTTTGTTTGCTATGCGTATCTTATTAATCCAGTTGTGCTAAAGATGTGAGCAGCTGTGACTTCCTGTGTAACTCCAGCTGGAAAAAACAAACACAAAGGCCTGAACGAGGCTACGTGGCTATTTTGCTAAAGCAGCTAGCCACGATTGAAGCCACATCAGCAAGCAAAAGCAGAGCTGTCTCTCTCTCTCTCTCCCTCTCTCTCTCTCTCTCTCTCTCCCTCTTCAGCATCGTCGTCCATAGCAGACCTGTTCTCAGAGATGGGAGGGATTTGTCACGAGCTGGACGCCATTTCAGTCCACAAAACATCAACATTTCACAAAGAAGCCCTCTGTCCGCTTTAGCCTAGACGCGGGGAGGGAGGAAATAGACATGGAAGGATGATAAAAGTCTATTTTTCCTCCTTTTTCTTCTCTTCCAGCCCTCCCTCTCCTCCTCCTCCTCCCCCTCCTCCTCCTTCTCCTCCTCCACAGGAATCAGCTTTAGCTTAGCTGGAAATAGTGCTGCTTAGCATGTGTGGCCTAGCTAAGCACAGAGAGATGCTGGTGAACTAGCATGCGTGTGGATGTAACGTTGCCTCCCTTTTTGTTAATCTTGTCGTTTTAGGTTTGTTGTGAGTGGCCATCTGGCCTGCATTTGGGCTACTTACTGTGTGAACTGACATCCCTATGATGCATCAGCTGCTAGCAATAAGGCATCAGACATCCAGCACAGTGACAGTAGATCAGCAGAGATCATTTTTCTAGCTTTATTGAGACCTGCGGCCTGTATGAGCTGATGTGCTTTGATGTCTTAGTGGCAGTGTCTTCAGAAAAGATCATAATGTAGCTCCTCGTTATGCTAATGTTTGTTGTAGGCCGCACTTTCGTGTGAATTTTGCCATCATGTTTAAGAGCAAAATGAACAAAATTGTACTGCAGCTTGTAGAAATGGGCTTATTATTATTATTATTATTATTATTATTAACAACAACAACAACATTTGTGTTGGTTTATATACCAGGCTGTTCTTGTTACTGTGCCTTTAAGACTGCTATATTCCATAAGCAGTACAGGCTGAAACACTCCTTATAACTTCAGCATGAGTGGGTGGGGCTAAACTGCTGTAGGCTGATTAGGTGGATATATGTAAATGAGCTGGTTCTCCTGACATCAGTTTTTATCTATGGGCTGTACTGACTGGGGAGTGAATGGTGTGTTTTGAGACTTTAACAATGTTTGTTTCACACAATGTTTCAACAAAACACAAGCAAAAGTTGTTTTTCTATGACATGGACCCTTTTAAATAAGAACGGTTCCTAAAAGGTTCCTTAGTGAAAACAATAGTTATATATAGAACTGTGAGCACTGTACAAATAGCCCTTTCTATGGATAAATGGTTCTACTCTGTGATGGAAAACCTGCTGTATATGGCTTTTAAAGAATATTTTGGAAAATGGTTCTATAAAGTACTGAAAAGGACCAGCTAGTGTTACAGAGAACTAATATATAGAACCATTTTTGCTTGAAATTTGAGGTCTTGGAATCCACAATTGGGTTTCAAGGCCTTAGAACATTAGTTCATTTTGTTGTGAGATTCTATGACTATATGACAATAGCAGAACCTTTAAGGTGCTATATGAAAACACTTGAAAAAAAAAGGTTATTTAAAGAAACAAACATTTTGGAGAAGAACAGTTTAATCACTGTACTGTATATCATTGTATTCTGTATATAGAACCATTGATATGGTTATATAAATTACCACTGCCGTACTAAAGAACCCTTGAAGAACCATCTTTTTTAACGGTGTAGAAAAGGCCTTGTAATATTAAATATTATTAGAAGGTTCCGTCTTTTGACGAGGCTGCAGAAATGATTGATGAAAGTATCCTTTGTTGTCACAATAGTACAAAAAGAACCTGCATATGAAATGAACAAAATTCTAGTTTTGTGATTTTATTTGCTGGATTGAATCACGATTTCAATATTTCTTGCAACTCATTATAAACACATTGATGAATCAGACGGGGTAAAGATCTACATTATTGTGACCAAAATAATGTCTTTCATTGTGAAACACTTTGATTCATCAGAACAGAGAAACTCATCTGGAACTGTGATTGGTCAGAATGCTCAGGTAAAAACACTGTGGTTGGTTGAAAGGCTCGTTTGCAGCCTTTAGCAAAAACGAACATCATGATAACAGTTAACAAACAGTTCTAGAACTGATACAGATAAAATATTGTTTTATATATGGATTAAATGGATTATATGGCTCATATAAATGCCCTGATTCATCCTGATGCTAACAGCTAATAATTTATTACAGGCTAATTGGTAACACTTTACAACAACACCCTCTAATAAACAGCATCGTAATCATTATGTTATCATTTGCTAATGATAATGATGTAAAAGACTTATTTTTTTATTTAAATCCATTTTGGATCATTACTGTTGGTCCACTCATTATGAAATGTTCACATAGTATAAAGGACAGCTGCTGTGCTGTGATATGAATGGAAAAATAGAGATGTGTGTCTTATTATATAATATGAACTATCATACATTTACCTAGCTGCATACAATTCATAATCAATAAGGCTTAGTAATTGTCTACTATTGTCTGCTTTAATATCTTGCTAATCCTTAAGGCATAAACTGTATTTCTCATTATTACTGGGATAAAAACATATATGTATTGCAGTTTATGCTGAGTTTATGATGGGTTTTGGGCTCAGTCTTTATTCTGTTCCCTTTTATTTCTTGTTTATAGTGCAGCTGTTGTACGCACACAGTGTTTTCAGCATCACTTAAACCTTCTGCTTTTCTGGAGCACAAAATATATCGTCAAATATTGCTTTGAAATATCAGTCAGATTATTATCTGTCGATCAGCTGCCAGTAACATTTTCTGCCAATATCAATATGATTTATACATCATCGTGCATCCCCTGTATGGCTTTCTGTCTTGTGATCCTGAAGTGTGATGGTTGGTGGGCTGAGAGCCTAAAGGACAAAGCAGCTTGACAGTTTGTTAGAGTTACGTTTCTGCACATTGTGAGTATATGTAGAGGTTTTTGGAGCACATGTGCTTTCAGTATGTAAAAGTATTGAGTTTTCTTACCTCCTCATTGATATGTTATTACCACTGTCCATTTCTGTCATTAGCTCATAAGTGGTAGCTACATATATGTTGTGACATTTGTGTTGAGGTCAGATGTAGACTAAAAATATTTTGTCACACAAATATGTGGGAAAAAATGTGTGAAAGACATTCCCTGTTGTTTTATTAGAAGCTTCCAGAAGTTCTAGTGTGACATTCTTCTATCATTGTACATCATTGTAAATGAGAATGTGATTGGTTGATTCCAGTGTCACTTAAATGTAGACAAAATATGTTTTGTCACAAAAAAATATGTGAAAAATTCAAATTATTCACATCAAAACAAACGTCTCCGTGTTTTTTGGCCTCGCTTTGGCCGGCCCTGTTCTATGGTATCTCTATTTTAGGCCCTTTATTGTTAAGGCTGTGGCCAGTGTGTCCATTAGTGAGGTGAAAGAGGAACCTTCTCATCCTTCTCTATTTATTTTCCATCTAGAATGCAGACAGTTGCAGTATCAGGGACCTCTGAGCCTTAAACCTGAATCCACAGTGTGCTAGTGCTAAAAGCAGCATACAAAAAGATGATATTTTGGAATTTATTGTTTAGTTTAATATCTGACGCTTGCTGGGTTTCCTTAACGTGGTTGGAGATGTTGGCTTGGTTTGGATTTTTGACTGCTGGTTTTTATGTTATTATTTATTACATACACACAAATCATCTGCCCATTCTATATAAAACACAGACACTTAAAGCTTTTAAGAGACATTCCATATGTTTTATTAGAAGCTTGTAACTTCCAGAAGGTCTAGCATGATGTTCTTCTATCTTTGTACATCATTGTAAATGAAAGTGTGATTGGTTGATTCCATTGTCACTTTATTGTGTTGGTGGTTAATCTAATATGTAAGGCCTTCAGTCCAGCTCCTGAAGTCCTGACCAATGGGAGAGCAGCTCAGCTGTATCTACATATATACCACAGGGAGAACAATCCTGATTGGACAGTTTTCTTCATGATTGTAGCCCTTTTATTTCCAACCAAAACCTAGTAGTAAAATAAGAGTATTAATAAAATACTTGCAGAGTTTAAACACAAATATTATGATCATTTTATTAAACAAAAATGAACTAAACATAACAGAGATGTATGTGTCTTAGTGGTGTTTAGATCTTTAGCCTGATCGGCTAACTTAGCTTGGCGAGCAGCTACAGACCCAAACAGAACCACACACCACAGTGCAGGTTTGATTCTGAGTATCTGCTGCTCTGTTGAAACCAATGTAAATGATAAATATGAGTGTCTGAGAGAGTGAAGGTCGAGAGGCTGGTGTTGCAGTGGCAGAAAGCTAAAACCAAATGTGCTCTGTGGTGTTTAGGAGTGTAGAATTTGGCTAAGCTAATGATAGATTAGATCAGACCAAACATTCCACAAACCGCAGCACTGTTTTACCACCCAGCACTAGCATGCAAACTAAAGACAGGACAGCAAGTTATGAGTTGAAATTATCAGCCAGAGTTTCGATAATTGGACTGATAATAATACTTA